AAGGCCACTCAGCCTGCCCCCAACTTCCTCCTTCACCTTTGCCAGGAACAAAGTCAAAGCAAACACCATCTCTGTCCCGTCCTGCCCCCAGAAATAATAAACAACACACACACACATGAAAGAAACAAAATGTCTAGCACAGGTAATATTCCTCCCCAAATTGACATATATCAGGGAGACTTGATTTTGGACAAAAGGGCAAATTGAAATTTTAGATCATTAAGTTTGAGATTATGATGTTTAACTCAAGTAGAGATGCCCACTTAGTTTGGGGAATGGGGTAAAGTCTAGAGGAGGTTGCTTAGGTGTTATCTCCTTAGATGTAAAAATAGAGAAAAAAATGTGAGCAACAAGAGGCTGAATGTAGAAGGAGGAATGACAGACAGAGAATCTTATAATATCCTCATATTTATGGGACTGAAGGAACAGTGCAAAAAAGAGGGTATGTTAGGTAGTAACAGGTATTGATACCCAAACCAGTTTAGATTAAAAGATTTAAATAGGAACTTCTACTGTAGTAGTTCTCGAGCTTTTAATATAGTAATTTTCATTATGAAGTTCTATGTTGTACTTACAAATATTTTTTTAACTCTATAACTTTATTAAAGATCTAGTGATGTATTGAGGACATTATGGGAAACAATGGGCTAGAATTTTCTGGAACCAGAAAAAGACAGAAAGAGATTTAGAGAAATATCCAGGGGGAGAAACAAAAATCCCAGAACCCAGACTGTTCAGGGGGTGTCTGCCCAAGTAAACAGGCAGTGACAGAGGGCTGGTGCATTTTGTTGGTGAGGACAGGAGCCCCAGGGGAGGCACCTAACCCAGCTTGGGGAGGGGTGGTGGGTAGAGAGTGGGGGTGGGCAGCAGCAAGCTAAGAGTAGTGGAGATTGACATCATGAGCTAAGAGCGGAGCTGAGATCTAACATTCTGAGCTTAGAGCGAGCTGAGATCCTGCCGGATGGGGAGGGTAGCTATGCGATGGCAGGTGAGGTTGGAGAGTGCTGGGAGCTGCTCACAGGTGCCTGCAACTGGAGCTGAGGGTGGGAGCCGGGCAGGCTCCCGGTGGGGCTGAGGCTGAAGCCATGAGCAGGGGCCAGGTTGCGCCGCGTGGTTAAGGGGGTTGGAGTGACTCTCAGCGCCAGAGGGCGCCATGGAGGGGTTTGCGAGATGAGCTTTGCTTTAGAACAAGATCAGGCTGCAGGGCAGGTAGGAGACAGCTGGGAAGCTGCTTGGTGTGCGGGAGGGAGGTGGCGGGAGGGAGGTGGCAGGGACCTGACTGGGTGGGGGCTGTGGAGACACAGAGGATTCCGGAGAGAGTTGGGAAAGAGAAATGACAGGGCTTGGTGACTAGTTTGGGTTGGGCAGTGCGGGATAGTGGGGGCAGGGCCAAGGGTGACGCTCAGGTTTAGAGCTTTCAAAACTGGGGAGAGGGTGTGTCATTGATCTGGGGGGGGTGTGCAGGGAGGAGGGGTTTAGGGTGGGGACGATAGGTCTGGGTTGACTGTGTTGGGCTTTTGGAGCCTGGGGTCGCCCCGGCAAGCAGGGCGTTGCTTAGGCGGGAGGCGGGAAAGAAGCGAGAGGCTTGGCTGGGTACAAGGCCAGGAGCCAGGCCACTGAGAGCCGATCTGGAGCGAGCAGGGTCTCACGGAAGCGTGTGTGTGGCGGGCAGTGGATGAAGGACTGGAGTCAGGCCAGGGTTCTTCCAAAGCTGCTCCCCGCTGAGACCTGGGCCCAGAGACTCCCCTAAGGTAGTTGGAGGAGATCTGAGGGCCTCATCTCAGGCAGCTGCCCGGAGCGGGCCTGGACCTCGCCAAGGCTTGTGGTGTGTGTGTGGGCCGGGGGGGGGGGGGG